CACCATGGAGACTGCAAGTCGAAAGATTTTATGAGAACCATTAAAGGGCCTTTGTTGTCTTTACATCTCACTTGGCCTATGTTGTAGGTTTCATGCTGCTTACCTAAATCTAAAATATGGGAACAGAATTGCTTAAAATCAAGCAAATATACTATTAATGAAGTCTAGGTCAATAACTGACATATCTGTAATTTTACCTCAGAGGTTGTTTATTCATGTCTGTATGTCCTCCACTTTTTACTTAGTTTACTTAGCTAAAAAAAAAAGTCACATGTAAGAGTTTTTACAGTTAAAACCATAGGCTTAATACTATTTAGTGAGCTGATGTGACACATCACAAGTTAGACCAAGTTATGCAACCTCTGAAGAAAAATTTTAATTTCCCTTTCCCAGGAGTCATTTATTTTGTAGATTCCCATGTCATTTAAGGGTTTCTTTTCACAAATAGTAATATATTATAAATTTATAGTATTCACTGGAAAAAGAAACTAATGCTGGAAAATCAAAGCCTGTCCAACCATACATGCAGTGCAATCCCCACTACTTACCCAAGTACTCAGTATTTGCCCCTACCTTCCTCACTACCACCAGAAAGAGAACTGTGGTTAATCATTGAAAGAGCCATAGTATTTTGCATGAGGTTCTGGGGCATGAATTTTATAGCTTGGCTTTCATGTGTTGATGCAAAATCATTCTTTTTGCAGTTCTTTACAAAAGAATTTTGCCTAACTTTTATGTCTTTGAAGGAAGTAGAATTAGGGAAGGGAAACTGAAAACACTACGGACTAATTCTGCTCTCAGACTCTCTACAATGTCATATGGCTCGCTCACTTGCTTCTGAGTACATACCTTTAATGTCAGCAGGATAGAAGAATGGGGTCAATGTCATGGAGACACCAAGGTTTGACCCTTCACTGTGAAAGGAGGCAGGGATTTGCATGTCTCAACTTGACTGGTGGTATCTACCTGTCGCATGAAGCCTGAGCAGCATCATCCCAGGAAGAGGAGACATAAGTGAGGGGAGGCAGAAGTCTTGACGATTTGAATTACTATGCCTCCTCAGCCACACCTGTTAGCTTCCAACATGCCCATCTTTCTCCAGTGATGATACTGGGCAGCTGCAGTTCTCCAGAGTACACCTAAAAACACTGGCTGGGAAGGTGTTCACAGCATCATTTTAACAGGCAGGATTGATGTTTGGCAAGACTGTTTTCTAAGAAGCATTAGTTTTTCCTTCTTTTGTATAGACTTTAAAGTGCCCTGGAGTCCTTGCCACCAGTATGGGAATATAGACTTGTCTTTCCAGAGTAATTAAGACCCTATATATGAGCTATCAAGTCTGATTTGCTCCTATTTCAATTAGCTTTGAGTTTAATTCATCTTAGCTGTACATAGCATGGGGCAGCCATAATGGGTACTCAGCAACAACAAACATTTTACCTTCATTTTTATGTTCATGGGTGATTGCACTTTGCTAAAGCATGAATGTCCCAGCTGTGGGATGGTGCTAAGTGCCGTACCATCACAGGAAGGGACTTCCCGCACCCCAAAGACCTGTCCTTGCCATTTGATCTAAGGGCAACGAGATCTGCCAACACTGCTCAGGCTGGAGTCGATGAACTGGAGCATTTATTTTATGACAGTCATGCAAGTTGTCATTGTGCTCAGCACACCGCTCAGAGCCATGGTGGGTATGTCACTACAGCAATATACAGGTTGGCAGAGGTAACATGAGACATGGCAATATCATGCAACAAGTTTAAATGAACTTACTATACATGCCGCATGGCAGATGACTGGAGGCGTAAAGATGTATCTGCAAGAGGTCTGAGATGTGATGACCAGTAGCCATCTGGATAGTGCAAAATGCAGAGTGAAAAAGCAAAGTATATTCACAGTAAACAAGGCTTTTCTCCTCATAGGAGGTTCTGTTAGTAAGAAACTAAAATAATGTCAACGACTCGGACATAAAACCAGCACATAAAGGCCTAGTCTGTCCTATAATCATAGAATCATAGAATCGTTAGGGTTGGAAAGGACCTTAAGATCATCTAGTTCCAACCCCCCCTGCCATGGGCAGGGACACCTCACACTAAACCATGTCACCCAAGGCCTTGTCCAACCTGGCCTTGAACACCACCAGGGATGGAGCATTCACAACCTCCCTGAGCAACCCATTCCAGTGCCTCACCACCCTAACAGGAAAGAATTTCCTTCTTATATCCAACCTAAACTTCCCCTGTTTAAGTTTTAACCTGTTGCCCCTTGTCCTGTCACTACAGTCTCTACCCAAAAGAATCTTCTATTCCACACCTGCCTTCAGGGCTTGTGTAAAGAACGGGAGCCTCCTCTCAGGTGGAGACCTTATAGCAGTGTTCCAGTACCAAAAGAGGGCCTACAAGAAAACTGGACAGGAGCATTTTACAAGGGCATTGTCCTGGGTTCCGCAGTAGCAGTCATGTTTTTCCTTTGTGTTAGCTGGTGCAGTGCTGTGTTTTGACTTCCAGCTTGAGAACAGTGTTGGTGAAGTCGATGTTTCCGGTTGTTGCTAAGTGATGTTTACCCTGACCAAGGACTCTGTAAGGCTCATGCTCTGCCAGGGAGGAGGGGAAGCTAAAAAGAACTGTCGTGGTTTAAACCCAGTCAGGTAGCTTGTTCACTCACTCCCAGTGAGTGGTGCCGAGCTGACAACAATCGAGGTCCGTGTCCGTCTCCCCCCCCGCCTCCCCGCACCGGGGCTCTCCCCTTCCCTGCTCCCGGAGGAACGGGGAGGAGGATCGAGAGAGTGCAACTCCTACGGGTTGAGACAAAAACAGTCCAGCAACAAATCACCACCGCTACTATCAGCTACAACAATGACAAGGGAAAATAACAAGGGAAGAGAATACGATACCACCGGCCAAGAAAACGAGTTCCACCCGGAAGCCCGTGTCCTTCCGGGTAACTCCCAGTTACCCCTCACCCCGGGCATGACGTGCTGTGGTATGGAATACCTCCCCGGCTAGCCCGGGTCAGGCGCCCCATCTCTGCTTCCTCACAGCCTCTCCTCCTCCCTGGCAGAGCATGAGCCTCACAAAGTCCTTGGTCAGGGTAAACATCACTTAGCAACAACCGAAAACATCGGTATCACCAGCACTGTTCTCAAGCTGGAAGTCAAAACACAGCACTGCACCAGTTAACACAAAGGAAAAACATGACTGCTACTGCGGAACCCAGGACAGGCATGTAGAAACAGGACAAGGGGGAATGGCTTCAAGCCGAAAGAGGAGAGATTTAGATTAGACATTAGGAAGAAATTCTTCACTATGAGAGTAGTGAGACACTGACACAGGTTGCCCAGAGAAGCTGTGGATGCTCCACTGCTGGCAGTGTTCAAGGCCAGGCTGGACAGGCCCGATCTAAGTGGAAGGTGTCCCTGCCCATGGCAAAGGTGTTGGAACCAGATGATCTTTAAGGTCCATTCCAACCCAAACTGTTCTATGAGTCTATCAGATAAAGTGCATCTGCATCTGCATCTGCTTGCAAATGGAGATCCACACTAGCCTGGCTGATGGTGAGGTTATCCAGGGGCAAGTATTGCCATTTGGGTTGCCTTTGTGTCATTCACACCTCTGTTTACTTGGTTGACATTGTCCTTCCTGAATCTACAGAGCTAATAGCAAACCAGCTGGTCTACCCTCTTCATCTAGAGGAAGCCAAGATAAGGGCAGAGATAAATTACCTCACAGCAGACAAAAGGAAAGCAGAAGGCACTCAGGGGGTGAAAAGGGAGCCTGACCCCAGCCCAACAGGTTAGTGTGCCAGCCCTCACCTCAGATCAAAGGATCTGCAAACCAGCAGAGGCCTCTGAGGCAAGGGGAGGGAAGGGGAGAACGGGCCAGTGTGGCTGCAGAGGCTCCTCTGGGATACCAGCACCCACAGGCATGGCATCCATCCCTGCCTGGGCTGGGCATTAAGGGACCTGTGACCAGCAGAACCCACAAACCCCAGTGAGTGCCCTGCCAACCTCATCTCTGAGTCCCTCTGTCACCTGCTGAGCAAGGGAGAGGGCTGGTGAAGCCTGTCTGACCATTTATTGCATGTGGTGGTGAAGAAGGAGGGTTAAAAAATAAGCTTACTTCTCCTAGGGTGTTCCAGGGACTGAGGGTATCACATTGATTTTGAAGTGAAACTCATCCTTAATTTCAACAGAGCGTTTGAATTTTGCTTCAAAACAGCTATCGCAAGCATTAACTTGCTCTCTCTCCTTTTATTTTAGCATTCTGTGTGCCCAAGAAAAATACACGTTTCATGGGTGGGAGAAAACAAAAAAGGTACAAAGAAAGCAAGCTTTTCAATGCAGAAAGAGAATGGAGGAGAAAGAGAAGACCATATGGTCCAGATACTATGGCTGCTTATTGTACAACATGCAGAGGCAGGAATTTAGGCTCTGCTGTTGTGCTTGAATAACACATGGACGTTTGTTAATGTAGACCCCATCACATTTGAAAGACCTACTCAGCCTTTGGCAAATAACAAATAATCCTATCCAATTTAAAACTAAAAAAAACACTATAAAAATAGAACGCTTATTTGCGCAACTATTAAGATGAAAAAAGTTATAGACTAATATAAACAATAAGGGATTAATTACCTTTATTCTACTCCAGCCATAACAAATAGGCCACTCATTAATTTTTACAGCACCTGCTAACAGCTTTTCAGAATTTCTTTCTAACATTTGCAACATATACACCATTGCACAATATTTATATTTCAAACAAAAAAAGAAAGCTTCCTGCTCTCAAAAATAGTTATTTCTGATAAAGCCACTTAAGATAATTCCGTACCTCTTGATCTTAAACTTGCCAACAGCATCATTTCACCACTTATTACACACATAAAAGAGCATACAGGCTGTAAAGATAAGTACCAGAAAGGCAGGAAATTTAGTAATTAAAGACTGCATCACAATACATCTTAACCTCCATCCCTTACAGCAAGCATTGGCCTGTAATTACCTCTATTATTGCAGCACTGTAGCACAAAGCCACTGCCCCACATTCAACCAGCTGCAGCTAATTCAAAGGCTGCAACCAACATGTCCCACTCAATCTTTTCTTCCAAGAGGTATTTCTTGCATCTGCCAGCTGGGCCATGTTAAACTAATCAGTATGAACAGAGCAGGAAAGGTGAAGGTGAACTCCTAGCTTGGGGCAGCTCAGTCCTGTGCTTGGCTTTCCTGGCTGGCTGGGGAGAAGGACATGGTCATTCCATGTCATTACCTTGGAAACAGCCCTTGGGTTTGTGAAACAGGAGCAAAAAAAAGCTCTGACCCATACTGACTGCAAAGAAAATGTCAGTGCTAAGAACTCTTTCTTTGGAGACCACCACTCTCACCTGTGTCTTTCTTGCTGAAAGCTACCCATAAGAAGACTTTCTGAGTCAAAAGCCTTATCTGAATCTGTGGTCCTGCTCAGCTGAAATAGCTAATGATTAAATGATAGCAAATACTGATAAAGTTAATAAATGGGCCAAATGCTGCCCCTTGTTGCCATTGTTTCTCTTCCTTTGGTAGGATGAGAAGTCTGAAATTGTTGGATCTTCTTCTCTGTCCAAGGACTTCCCACTCTCAGGTGATATGGAGAGCCTTGTCAGTGAAGATGGTCGTGTCTCTGGCGTGGAGGAAGCCTACCTGAACAGCTCTCTTGTAGCGGAGTCTACCTAGCCACTTGCCTTCATTTGCCTGTGATGGAGGAAAGCGGTATAGTGCTGCATTTTCCTGCTTTTTCTCTGTGGTGTGCCATCCTTGCTCTCTGCACAGTTTGGACAGACTGGGGAGTCTGGAATATTCCAAACTCTACTTAATAAGTGCTTCCAGTTGTAATTGTGATTTTAAGAGTTCTGGGTCCAAACCTCCCTTCTGTGACTTTGCTAAAAGGAACAGACTGATCTTCCTCTGCTTATAAAGGGAATTGCATTGACTTCATGTGGCTCTACTGTTATAAGCATATCCATAGGGCTGAACTCTTTAATCAAAACACTGAGGTTTGCATTTATTGTTACTACGTAGCACTAGCAAATGCATTTCATTCCCTGCTCTCTCTTCATCTGTCAATATGGTATAAGAGCAAAGTGTTGTGGAAAATCACTTCATCAGGAAGGAATCAAACGCCATTGCAAAAGTTTCCTTAGAGTAATCCCATAATCTGGCAGTTCTTTGAAGAAGTCGTACATCTGTAATGTGCAGACATCTTATTGCTAGGGAACTCGCCTGTAATGACTATTTGATGTTAAATTTAAGCTGAAACAAGACTGTGGTAACTGTTGCTTCTGCATGACACTGCCTACATATTTGGATTTCAAAGGATTGTAATATTAAATTGTTTAAAAATAACATCTATTGGTTCCAAAAATAGTGCTGCCATTCTCAGATTTTAAAGTGTTGCTGACTGTGCTTTATCTTCTGAGAGTTTGTCAGCTTTTCTATCACAGCCCCTGCTGAGAAGCATATGGGGTAGGTTTTATTACCTTCAGCTATCTGAAATGGCAAGTGAGGTGAAATTTTAACTCTCCTAGTGCCTATTTGTTATGTTCATTAAGATGGTTTTGGTGGAGGCATTAGCAAATCTCATGGTACCCAATTCCTGAAATATTGTGAAATAGGGACTGTAGTGATAGGACAAGGGGTAACGGGTTCAAACTTAAACGGGAAGTTTAGATTGGATATAAGGAAGAAGTTCTTTACTGTAAGGGTGGTGAGGCACTGGAATGGGTTGCCCAGGAAAGCTGTGAATGCTCCATCCCTGGTGGTGTTCAAGGCCGGGTTGAACAGAGCTTTGGGTGACATGGTTTAGTGTGATGTGTCCCTGCCCATGGCAGGGGGGTTGGAACTAGATGATATTAAGGTCCTTTCCAACCCTAACTATTCTATGATTCTATGAAATCTCTCCTCAAGTTTCTGATGGTCTAAATATTTAAAGGTAGTGGGCAATTAGCAGGGGCGTGGGGACATGTAAAAGAAGATGTGTGACACCCAATTTTCTTCATAGCCCCACCACACTAATTTGAAATGAGGGAGACAAGCTGGCCTTGTGATCTCCTGCATCTTTGAGCAGCAAGGAGAGGCAGTAGAGAGAACAGAGTTATCGCCTCGCTTTTCCTCCCACCCAACATGAAAACCAATGGGAAGAGAGAGACTGAATTCCTAAAGCACGTGAGAGAGAAAGCTATTTCATGCTTGCCTGTATGTAACTGGATTTGCCAACATGGCTTTAACCAGTGGAGCTATTTCTGTACAAGTGAAAGTGCAAACCTAATTTAGATCACGGAATGAAATTTCCTTGTTGGTGTAGCTTAGATCAGTTCTCAGAATAGAATAAAGGACTTGGGCCAGTATAAATGCATCTTCATTAGGATTTTTTGCTGTTACAGCTATAACAAATTAGGTTGTGTTTTTCTTTTTCATGTTCTTAATGACACTACTATGCCAGCAATGCTTTTAAGAGCAAGCCTTACTTAGGCAGGTCTTGCGTGAGTCTGTCAAACAACCCTAGCAAAAGCAAACAAGCTCTCACTAGTCAGACGCGTAGGCAGACCCGAAGCAAGAAGAGAGCTGGCTGGCTACAATATACAGTAGGTTCCACTGAAGGACAACATGAAGTAGATTTAGGTCACTTGACATTCAGGATGTCAGATACTCAGGTAGATGGAAAAACCCATGGCCATGTGAATTGTGGCAAAAAGCAGCTAAGCAGCATGCCTGCAAGTTAATAATCCTCCTCTGGAGTCACAAAAATGTATAGGCCAAACACTTATCTTTTAGTAGTTCAGGTCTTGAGAAGCAAATTATTTCCATTTGTTGAAGCACTTTCCTGGCATCCAACTGAAATCAAATCCAAATTGTAGGATCCATTTTCCTGGCACTGAAAAAATCCATCGTGTTCTTGTTTTCCACTACATTGCTCCCAGCACCCCTCCACAACAGGCGAGGTTTTCAGGGGTGCAGAGGGGGCTGTCTGGATGACACCAGGTCAAACCTCGGTCTTCTGCCCAGTTCTGTCCTAGCACCCTCCATTGTCACTGACATCAAAAAGAAAAGCGATTCTTCCCCAGAACAGACAGCTGGACCCCCCTGGACAGTAAGTACAGTAACATGATGCAGTTGCATTTTCTGTCCTCTGACACAGTGTTCCTCTTCAGGCCAGGTCACTGAATCAAGTCTCTGCTGGAGACTTGTCCCCTCCTGATTTAACAAGGTCCTTTGCATATTGCCACTGCAAAACTGAGCTGAATGCTTGGGACCTGCTTTCTCTGTTCTTGGAAGTTATGCCCTATTCATCTTTACAAGATTTGTTGCTCCACACTAGGTAGTTTGCAGTCATCAGATCAACTATTTCTGATGGGAAACTCTCTCCTAGCATCTTTAGGAAATGTGGTATGCAAACAGTAGCTTTATATTTTGCTCTTTGAACAAATAATTTGCATGCTACTAATAAGAACACATGCCTAGAGAGAAACCAGTGATGTGTGAAATCAGTGATACAAGAAAACATGCAAGTTATTTCGGTAGCTCTGAACTCAGATCAGCTCAACCTGGCTGTGGGCTGTGTATGATTTTGCTTGGCCCCATGGTGGAGTGGGTTTCAATAGGTCTGTGGCTCAGCAGCAGGCCTGGAGCCCTAGGGAAATGCCAAAACCTGCAGCTTGGGAAGGGGAACCTGGTGAGAAAGGCTGCTTTGCACAAAGACAATGTCACTAGCTTACTTTCAACTAGTTGATGTTGCCAATATCCTTATCTTCTCCTTCAAGTCTTTACATGTCCCTCTCACCACTAGAAAGTGAAAATTCCATACTGCTGTAAGCAGCCCAGAGACTGTTTCAAGCACTCACATACCTGCCAAATTCCCAACAAATATTCTGTCAGTGTTGTCCATGAACCTTCATTCCAAAACTCGAGAGAGCCCATCTCCCAGTAGGAGAGTCCAGCTGTAAAGCCCCCCCTCTGCCCTCCCAGCACTGGGGGTGTCTGCAGCAGGACAATGTCAGTCTCTGCCTCCTCCTCCTCTGCATTACACCCGAAAGGCAGAAGCTCTCTCATTCATTCCTTGCAGTTGAAGCTGTCCGTGCAGTGCTGAGAACATCTGTGGCACAGACTTAAATAATATCAATCTACTGATTTTTAAAGTCAGACCCACAGGAATCTAATTTAAAACCTGGAATAAAGTTGTAAGTCTATGACTTAGCCTCACCAAAGCCAGTGTCCTTATGTGGGTAATATCCATTACTTCAGACTGAGCTTTGGAAAACAGGCTTACACAGATTTTTGTCCCTATGCAAATGGAAGAATTAGCTCTGAATGGCCTGGCTTTTGCTAGCTTATATGAGATTCAGGATTATTTTATGCAGGATTTTAACATTTATATTCTTTAATGCCTCTGACCTTCTTGTCTGCCAGGCAGCTGTTTAGTGTCCCTTTGGATCTGCTCCAGCTGGACCTGAATTCAGATGTCACTCTGGGGCTCCCCTTTCTTAAATCAACTATAATTCCTTTAAAAGTGCAAATAAATAAAACTATAAATTAAAATAATCAAGAGGAAACATGTGCAGAGGGGTATTTTTAATCTTTTTTTATTTTATTATTATTCATCAAAGGCCACTGAGTCCCTCTAGTGCTTCCGTGTTGTGCTCTACGCTTGTTCCAGCAAGAAAATAATGAGGAATGGGAAACATTGGCCTTCATTTTTTTAGCATATCCCCAGATGTGTGTATTGGTTCACTGGGAGGGAAAAAGGAGATGGACATTACATTGCATTTAATTCACTTTTAAATCTGTCCAGGTCTGACTGTGATATCTAATTTTCAACATACATTTCAAAAATTTCCACAATTAATTCCCTGTCTTTTCCTTCCTTACTCTTTCATTCCCTTCCCTCACAGAGTTTTACCTCTATGAAAAACTTGTAATCAAAGTCTGGCCTCTGGAGTTAATTCAAGATTAAGATTCAAGTTAAACTTTTCTTTTGTCTCTCTCAGGTTTAACCAGTGCTGTCCTAAATCACCATGGGTATATGCATGCACTTAAGCACCCTGTTGAATCAGAGCTGCACCCACAGGACATCTTTCTTTTGTTAAAGTAGCTACAGACAAGGCCAGATTTGTAATTCAGTTTAAAGAGAACTTGACAGTTTTGCTATTTAAGCCAATTATTCAAAGCTCTTGGTAGGCAAAAGTGGATCATATGTGTGAGAAACGTAAGCAGTACAGACTGTAGTAGGATGTGGTTGATATATGTGCAACTCTGAAGCCATTTCTAATATAAATGGTGCCTTGGTGATGTCACACTTACCCACTGCCCATCTGCCAGATGTTGCAGAGTGACCCACTTCTTTGTGCTTAGCT